TAAGTGCAAACCGACTGGACTATAAATTCATGGGAAACTTCGCTCTGGCATTTCCTGACTGGCAGTCTATTTAAACATCCAGTCCAACAGTGTATCAGGTTATTTCTCAGACTCCTTTAGGAAACGTCTAAGGTCTAAAAATATGCTGTTCCCAAATATGACGGCTAATTCCGCATCCTCTCACAAAGCAAAAGGGTAAACCGGGCTGCAGTCTCCAGTGCCAGCGCCAGCCAGAGAGAAAAACTAACTCCGCCTCTCCCCGAGCAGAGAAAAGTATAATAAAGGTGCCAGTGACACAAAACCCGGAGGAGTCCAGACACCAGCTTCTTTCTAATGCAATATTTGAAAAAATTATTTCATTTATTATAAATATCTACTTATAACTGAATAATATGAAACTGCTAAATTCGATTCCCGGTCAGAGCACATGCCCAGAATGTGGGCTCGACCCCCAGTAGGAGGTATGTAGGAGGTAGCTGATCAGTGATGTTTCTCTATCATCAATGTTTCTTTCTCTCTGTCTCTCTCTCTCCCCCTCTTCCTCTCTCTCTAAAAATCAATAAAAACATAAAAAAATCAGAGCTAAATTGAAAAAAAAAAAAAAAAAGCCCAGCAGTGTTGCTCAATGGTTGAGCATTGACCTATGAACCAGGAGGTCACAGTTTGATTCCTGGTTGTGGGCTCCATCCCCAGTGTGGGGTGTGCAGGAGACAGCCCATCAGTGATTCTCTCCAATCATTGATATTTCTAATATATTTTATTGATTTTTTACAGAGAGGAAGGGAGAGAGATAGAGAGCTAGAAACGTCGATGAGAGAGAAACACCGACCAGCTGCCTCTTGCACACCCCCTACTGGGGATGTGCCTGCAACCAAGGTACATGCTCCTGACCGGAATCGAACCTGGGACCTTTCATTCCGCAGACCGACGCTCTACCATTGAGCTAAACCGGTTTCGGCCCCATCATTGATATTTCTATCTTTTATTTTCCCCCTCTCTGAAATCAATAAACATATATTTAAAAAAACAACAAAAACCCCTGCTAAATTAAGTGGCTATTGCCAGTAGTTTTGTGTCATTAATCTAATAACTAATTATATCTTTAGAAAACATGATTTCAGGGCTTCCCACAGAAATAATCTGAACTAGGTGGGGTCTCTCGCTGAAGCAGCAGTGAATGCTCACAGCTGCTCAGTGCTATGACAGATGGTGGGTGAATGTTTAAAACTCAGTTGTCAGAGTTTGGCAGGGGGAGAGATAAATGTGTCACTTAACAATGTTTTATGTCACTGTTGACTTATAAAATAAACATTTATTCTGCAATAGGAACATTTCCGCAAGAAAGTGAGAAGACTGAGAATTACCAGCAAATGTAACATTTGCAAAATGCTTTTTGTCTAAAAAAACAAACAAACTCCAAAAAACAAAAAAACCACCTGTGGGTCACATACAAGTTCCAAGCCCAAACTAGTTCAAGATATTATTAAAAGACATTACTAACTGCATATCAACACCAATTCCTGAGAAAGCCTAATTCATGAGCGACAGGGTAACATCATTTGTAAAGTCACTGTTTATATTAGACTTGTGTAGTCTGCACTCACCCAAAGAATCAGTTCAGGGCAAAAAGCAGATTTCCGTGAGGCACTGGACTGAACACTGCCCCTCAAAATTCCTATTTACTGGAAGATCAGATATGACCTTATCTGGAAATAGGGTTTTGGTAGAAATCATTAATTAAGAGCCCAGTCGGTGTGGCTCAGTGGTTTAGTGTCTACCTACGAATGGTTCGATTCCTGGTCAGGGCACAGGCCTGGGTTGCCGGTTCCCATCCCCAGTATGGGGTGTGCAGAAGGCAGCCGGTCCACGATTCTCTCTCATCATTGATGTTTCTCTCTTTCTCTCCCTCCCTCTCTGAAATAAATATATTTTTAAAACAGATGCGGTCATATTGAACTAGGGAGGACCCTAAATCCAATGACAGGAGCCCTTACAGGAAGTCACGTGAAGGCACAGTCACACACATACTTAGCAAATTAAGATACATGACAAGTTGTATTATATCAGAATGGACCTATATATTTCACACACAGTGAAAATATATAGATTTTAAAGCAACAGTGCTTTAAAATATTTTTATTGATTTTAAAAAGAGGAAGGGACAGGGATAGAGACATAGAAACATGGATCGGCTGCCTCCTGCATACCCCACACTGGGGATGGAACCGTGACCTCCTGATTCATAGGTCGACACTCAACCACTGAGCCACACCAGCCGGGCTGCACCAGGGCGTTTAAGTTCTGAAAGTAGACACACTGGGCCAGGCACGGCTCCTCCGCAAGCCTCTTTCTTGCTTCCTACAAAATGAGGAGTGGTGTGTGGGCCCGGTGGAGCCGGTTGGATAGCAAATATGTAGATATTCTGGACCCATTTCTAACTACAGAGCAAACCAGATGTGTTTCTTCTTTTGTTTTACTGTAAGTTCTTTCAACGAGACACACATTTTGTTCCCTTCAAATAAATGCTAGTGATCTTTCTCCGAATGTCGAGTTTGTTACTGTTTTAAACACATCACGAGAGAAAACAGGACACCAGGTGAGCTGTAGACTTCTATAGGAATGGAATCCTGCTTCTTGGCAGCTTAAGAAAGAGGGCCTCAGAGTCAGCTCTTTTTAAATGAACAGGAACCGTTCCAACAGCATGAAGGTGTTTTATAAACTGTCTCAGTGGGATTAAGTAACAGTCAATCCGAGGTCCACAACACTATGCCTCGAGGTGTCACTGCTTGGAATCCTTAGAAAAGAGCCAACATTGAATTTGCAAAACCAAACACTCCAAATCCGACTATGGGAAACAGAACCTTCGGAAGAAGGATCATGAATGGTCAAAGTTTGAAAAGCTTCTTCTCAAGAGTTGGCCAGACTGTGTTCCTTTTTTGGTGCACAAGGCAAACATTTAAGTATTAAAAACATTTTATTGGGCGTGGCTGATGTGGGTCAGGGGTTGAGCATCGACCTATGAACCAGGAGGTCAAGGTTTGATTCCTGGTCATAGCACAGGCCCAGGTTGCAGGCTCTATTCCCAGTGTGGGGCATGCAGGAGGCAGCTGATCCATGAGTCTCTCTCATCATGGATGTTTCTCTCTCTCTTCCTCTCTCTGAAATCAATCCTGTATAATAAAGAGGTAATATGCAAATGGTCGTTACGCCGTGACGCATAATGACTGATCACAAGGTCGACAGGTGAACAGTTTCTCCACGTAGCAGGTGAATACGTCACTGACTACTTTACTGAGATGTAGCCTCTTAGCTCTGAAGCAAGAGCCGAGAAGCATCTCTGGGCTGTCGGTCATGATGGCTCACGCCGCTCGTGCTGATTAAGCTTTCACCGAAGGGTGGCTCAGTTTGGATCTTTAGAACCAAGCACCTCCCAACACTGCCCTGGGCCGGCCTCACAGCCAGTCACCACAGGAAGGGCCCGGGGTTCACGTGGAGCCTCAGCTGCCCAATTCTGCAGACGTGGCATCTTGTCAGCAAGCAGAGCCCCTTTGAAAGCCAGGGCCCTGGTAGGCAGATGCTGACACCATAGACACATCTTTGAGTTTATGACTGAGAAGCACCCACGAGAACCGGAAGCATGTCTTTCCTCTCCCAAATCTGATTCTCTTCTGAAGTTATAACAACGGCTATCCAAGAATGCAGCTGTTCTTCCAGATAAAGGTTTCCGTGAGGCCTGAGGCTAGCATTGGGCAAGAGCTGCTGGCTGGCCCTGCTTCAGAGGCCAGCCTGTCTCTGCCCTTCCCTGTGAATGCTAGCCATGCTCTGGCATTCTCCCGAGTCTCAGGCTTGGGATGTTCAGGTCCCTTGATGTATTAATGAGAAAAATACAACTTCGAAAACCAATGTGGGCATCGCTGAGCCTTTAAATGACAAGAAGTCCTAGATCAAGAGAAGGTAAGTAAATCTCAACAAAGACCTAGCCACAGACTGTACTAAGTAAGCCGAACTCGGCACTCAGTGGCAGCATCCTTCATCCATCAAACAGCCTGGGCCCAGTGAAGGGCATGCCTCTGTGGGAGACACACACTGTGCAAGCTCTGCATCAGATGCAGCAATGACAGAGGACAAAAGAGATGCAAAGATCCAGGACTAGAGTTCAAAGTCTACTTTAAATAACACATCATAATGACAACCTTGACATCTTACTAAAACGTGCCTGAGATGAAGGAAGATGGGCACGACCAGCTTGATTTCTCTTTCCAGCTCAACCTGCTCTCAACGGATCTGTTCTACCCACACTAATAAAAGAGTAACATGCAAATTGACTGTACCTTCATGACGCCCACCAGCCAATCAGGAGTGATTATGCAAATAAACACAACAAAGATGGCGGGGTTACTTTGCATATGCAGGCACCCAACGCCCTAGCTGCTCTGGGCCTCTGGGCAGCATGGGAAAGCAGAAAGGTGGCTCCGGGCCAAGTGAAGGCGGTTCTGGCAGCCAGGAGAAAGAAGGCCCATTCTTGTACGAATCTTTCTGCCTTGGGCCTCTAATTTCATAATGAAGTGCATTCTTTGTTTAAGGAGGACACAGCAAGTCTATGAAAACCGGCAATATTGAATCTGAAATGTGTGACCATGGCCATTACCCAATATTTTCTTTGCTTTTCTCTCTCCTATACTCATGCTTGAGGCACAACATTTTAAAAATAATGTTTAAAGCAGTGAAAAGTAACCGTGGCTAAGATCAATGGATTCTTCTAAGAGAAATACACACGCACGATTTTTTCACCATGACTTGTTAGGCTGTATTGTCTTGTGCTCACTGTAATCCAGCACTTTATTTTAGTTATGAATCAGTGATGGACGATTTCCCAGACTTAAGGCAACTGACAAAGGACTATTATTATAGACATTGAGAAATTAATATAAAGTTAAATGACATGCTAAATACTAGTAGTTACCTCCCCCCTCCAAATGATAATAAAAAGGAAGACTTACGTCTAGTAGTGTGTGAAGATGCTGGTCTTGGAAAACACTGTGTAGAAAGTCTAAGTCCTTCTCGCTGCAGTCTGTGAGTGCGTGGATCTCTTCCAGGCTGTCCAGCACCTGTGAGACAGCTCCTAGGGGAACAGACAGAACAACAGCCGGCACACCAAGTCAATGGCAGACCTACCTTGGCAATCGACATGCTATATTTCAGAACAATGGGCTGATAAGCAGACATCAAAGGTTAGTGTCCTTAGTGAAGGATGGACTTACATATTTTTCAGGATAGAGTATTTCGCTGAGTTTATGTTCTTAACAATGTAATGTGAACTCTTCATTTTTCAAAGGCAATTGAAGCTGGTCTTACTTGAATTAAAGAAATTGATCAACTATAATTGAGTTATTAGAAGACCTGGGTTTTAGCAAGCTACCCATCAGAGGAATGTGTGTCCCCTGACCCCGTGATGTGCTGGGATTTTACAGAAGTAACGTGGAAGGTAAAACCAGGTCTGAGGGACCAACCCCTTCTGAGGACTTTCAAAGCTCAAACTTAAATTAGCAACTATCTCAACCCTTTCTTCTTTGTTCACATACAAAGTCAAGAGAAGCAAGTCATCCTCAGTGTTCTGGGCCCTTTCTATTCAGAAGACAAAGATGAGGGCTAAGTATACTGACTGACACTTCCAATCACAATCCCTATATATAGTAATAAAAGCCTAATATGCTAAGTATACATTTAACCAATCAAAGCATAATATGCTAATGATATGCTAAGGCTGCTTAACTGCTTGCTATGATGTGCACTGACCACCAGGGGGCAGATGCTTCAACTGGTAGGTTAGCTTGCTCCTGGGGTCCTGCCGATCGGGACTGAACGAGATGGACTGGACACATCCTGGAGCACTCCTGCAGTCCCTCCCTGCCTTTAGATGAAGATACAAATCTGGAACCTGTCTGTTCTGGAACTTGATGCTGTTTCTATTATAATTACTTCTGTCTTGGACCTTATCTATTCGCACACTTATTGGTAAGAATGTAAATGGGTACCACTTTTCCAGAAAGCCATCTGGTAACAGAACAAGAAGCCTTAAAAATACTCATGAGCTTTGATTCAATAGTTCCATTTACAAAACCCACCTTAAGGAAAAACAGGAAACACAGAAAAAGGACTATGTATAAAGATATTTATAATACAAAATGGAAGAAAATCTAACAGAGAATGACCACATCAAGTACAGAACATCTATAGAATGGACTATGCAGCCAAATGAAAACTGTTTTTAAAGACTTTTAAGAACAGAAATCCTCATGCTATAAAATTCAACAAAGCAGAATACAAAACCATGTAAACGGAATTTTCCCAATTATGACTGATTAATACAGTTAGAAAAAACCCTGAACAAAATACATCAAAAGGGTAACAATAGTTATCTGTATTTTCCTATTTAGACTTCATCCTGTTCTTGTCCATATGTTCCAAGTTTTCTCCACTAGAAAACAAGTTGCTATGTAAGCAACCGCTTCTTTGTGGTACTATGTATAATATATATATAAAAGCCTAAGCGACCAGCTTACCATTCAACTGTCCAACCGGTAGCTATGAGTTGCATGCACCACCAGGGTGCAGACACTAAACACAGGAGCTGCCAAGCAACAACAACTGTGCAGAGTGCCCTTTTGCACTCTGGGACCCTCAGGGGATGTCTGACTGCTGGTTTTGGCCCAATCCCTGAAAGTCAGGCTGAGCGACCCCACCTGCCTGAGGGACCCTGATCACTCCACAGATACCCTTTGAGCCCTGGCGCTGCCCCTGGCGCGGCAAGCCAGGAGGGACTGAGGGCAGTTGGCTCCAGGGTGTGTCCAACCCGTCTCTCCCAGTCCCACCCTGCCAGCCACTTTCTAATTAATTTACTTTCAATGTGCATGAATCTGTGCACCGGGCCTTTAGTTTAATTATGTTAGAGAGGTGGAGCTTAAGCTATAAATCAAGTGGTTATCCACATGGAAATTACTGTGGCCATTTTTTAAAAAAAATTTTGATTTTTTTCCTTTTCTTTGCGATTCACATCCAGTTGTAAGAAACAATACAGAGAGATCTCACATACACTCCCCCCAGGCTCCCTCAATGGTACCATCTTGGGGAACTGTCATACAACACCACAACGGGGACACTGACACTGATACAAGTCAGGCTACAGAATATTCCCATCACCACCTTTTAAAGGCACATTCATTTCCCTCCCTCCTAACCCCTGGCAACTACCAATCTGTTCTTCATGTCTATACTTTGGTCATTTCAAAGATGCTATCTCAGTGAAACACACAATATGTAACCTTTTGGGATTGGCTTTTTTGGCCCAGGATAATTCTCTGGAGATTCATCCAGGTTGTTGCATGTATCAATAATTTAATCCTTTTATTTTTAAAATAATATATTTTTATTGACTTGAGAGAGGAAAAAAAAGGGAAAAAGAGAGCTAGAAACATTAATGATGAAGGAGAATCATGGATTGGCTGCCTCCTGCAGGCCCCACACTGGGGATGAAGCCCACAATCTGGCATGTGCCCTGACCTGGAGTTGATCCATGACCTCTTGGTTCATAGGTGGACGCTCAACTACTGAGCCACACCAGCGGGGCTAATTTAATCCTTTTTAATGTTGGGTAGTATCCCATGGCATGGAAGTACCACAGTCTGACCATTCACTGTTGAAGGGACTGTGGCTACCTTTTACTTTTGAATAATTTCAGACACCAGGCTATTGGTATTCTTTCACTGAAAACATTGAGTGAATGTGAATGGGATAAAAAGGTACAAGGCAGAAATCAATCCTCATTTCCCCCACTGTTTCTGAAAAGGTATTAACCTAATCCACTTCCTTCTACCTGCTCTTTTCAGGGCTTTTTGTTTGTTCTGAGTAGGAAAAAAAAATCTGGAAATGAGTTCAAGGCCAGCTCATTCATTATCCTTTCCTGAAAGCCTTGGAAAGCAAGAGATGATATGAAGAAATTAGTCCTAAATGTTCCAGGGAACACCTAACCCCAGTGCACCATCAACAGCACAAGTAGAGGACTCAAGCTGTATGAAGTTACTAAAGCCAGTTCTAAACTTCTGGACTTATGGAACTGCAATGACAAAAATACAAACGAAAAAAAAAATTTGTATATTAAAAAAAAATCCAACAGCCGGGACCGGTTTGGCTCAATGGATAGAGCGTCGGCTTGGGGACTGAAGGGTTCCGGGTTCGATTCCGGACAAGGGCATGTACCTTGGTTGCGGGCATATCCCCGGTGGGGGGTGTGCAAGAGGCAGCTGATCGATGACTCTCTCTCATCGATGTTTCTAACTCTCTATCTCTCTCCCTTCCTCTCTGTACAAAATCAATAAAATATATTTAAAAAAAAAAAAACCCAACAGATACCATGGAAACCTAATAATCATTTTCACTCAGTGATTTTAGTGCAATCTTATTTAATTTTTATTGTGTTTTTTTCCCCCCAACTTCACTTATACTGCTGATATATAATCTAGGTAGAAGTTGATTAAAATAGCCCAGTGCCATGGCTCAGTGGTTGAGCGTTGACCTATAAACTAGGGCCTAGTTTACAAGTGGGAAGAGTCTTACACGTCAATAGCCGTTAACTTGGATGTGACAGGCAGCCCCGAAGATGCTCTCCGACATCCCTGCCTCCTGCTGGCCATGCTCTTGTACAAGCAACCCTTCCCTGGAGTGTGGCTTGGACTTACTCACTCACTTGTAAAGAATGGAATAGGACAGAAGTGATAGGACATCACTTCCAAGATTAGGTTATAAAGACCGTGGCTTCTCTCTCCAGCTCTCCCTCTTCCCTTTGTCCTTCTCTCATCATTCATGCTGAAGGAGCATTCTGTGCTGTGAGCAGCCCTATGAATAGGCCCCACAGCCAGCGAGGAGCTGAAGGCAGCCAACAACCACGTGAGTGAGCCTGGAAGAGGACCCCTCTCTCCCTCCCCGATTGGGCCTTCATGTGAGACTGCAGCTCTGAACGCCGGCTTGACTGCAATCTCATTTTAAATTAATGAAAATTCCCTCTTCATTTAGGGTAGGTGATTAGACATGCACATTACATGATCATGCTTTTCTCTCTTACTTGCAGCACCTGGGCAGTTTCTGTGCCCATAGAAACTGTGAGAAGATAAGCGCTGCTTTGCTCTAATTCATTATACAGCAGCAGATAATACACGGTGAGAGTGTTAGGAATCATGCATCACTTAACATTAGGTTAATGACAGACCACATACACAGCGGTGGCCCCACAGATAGAATGGAGCTTTATGTTCCCACTGCCTAGGCATGTAGCTATCATGATGTTGTGTGGCAGCGCATTCCTCACATATCTGTGGCGATGCTGGTTGATATGGACCCGCTGTGCTGCTGGTCACATAAAGTGACCTGGAGGCCCTGCCACCCAGGTGTGTAAGTACACTGAGTGTGTGCACAGCGACCGCGTGGCCTTAGGACACATTTCCCAGGATGCACCCCGTTGCTAAGTGGCAGAGGACTCGGTTAAATCAGCTAGAATCTGAGCTACAACTAATGTAACGCAAGCATGCCAATGAATTCAATTATGAGCCTCCAGACTTCCTAATTTATCTCTGTCTCTTATACACTTTCCCTCCAGTAAGCACAACGTGAAGGAAAACTCTAAAATTATCTCCAGAACAATTCCAGCTGAAATCAAAGAGCAAACCTTTATTCTTTGCTTTTAGCTGGAATTGTTATGGAGATAATGATGGAGCCATGTGCAGTTTTAAGAATTAATACAGGGATCTCTTGTACACCTGGCTCAGTTTCTCAGCTGATAAGATTTTACAAAACAACAGTGTAATAGTACAAGCAGATACAATGTGCCTACCTTAATCAGATTGCCTTAGTTTTACTGGTACATGTGTGTATGTCATTTCTTACATACCTTTTACTTTCATATTCTTATACTCAAATCACATCCCTCTGTAATTAAAATCTACACATTACATGATTGTAAATAAATGTTCTTTCTGGAGGTAAAAGTTGTTAAGAGACAGGAATTCAGTATTTCATTTCACAGCTCAATGTTAATAAACTGAAAAGAGAGTCAACAAGAGAAAGTAATAAAAACTGCTCGCAGATTATGTGAGTGTCAAAGGCAAATTCACTTACCCGCAGTGTTCTTGAAAGCAAACGATAAAGTAAAATGTTACCCTTCCCCCCGGAATGAATGTTTGTGCTTGAAACTCATCTGTGAAATCATATTAAACGCAGGTAAAATTTTAACACTGCCTCTTTGTACTCTGAGATCAGAAGCAAGGAGTTCATATTATTTCTATAACAATGCCTCAGAAAATCAACCCGCCCACGTTTTGAAGCTATGACCCGGCAGTGTTAAAATTCGAAATTAAATACCGAAACACAGACAGCCAGCGAGGCAAACGTCAAGCCGATGTGAACCATGCAAAGCCAGTACTTTCACATCCAAGAGCAACCTCAGAGGAAAACGAAGGGGTACCTACTTTCGGCGGCTAGAAGTCCTAGGAGGAGGGCAGCGTATGGACAAACGACAAACAGTATGAGTTTAGAGCAAGCAGGTTACCAAGCCACACACAGCCCCGCGGCCCGAGCACATTCAGTGGGACTGGGGGGTGTCAGCCCTCCGGGTGCTGGGTTCTGATTCTGCCCTCTGAGGAGAACAGAGCATGTCCACGTGGGGTTACCAAGTAGCAAAGCTGCAATATACCGTCCAGCAGAAGATTAAACGAAACAAATTCGGGCGAATATATTAACCAACAAATCTGAATAATCAAAATAGAAGAGAATCGCATATAAAATTGTTCTACCGTGTCAGCAGCACTCTTACACCTGTTAGAGTCTCTCTCTCTCTCTCTCTCTCTCTCTCTCTCTCTCTCTCTCTCTCTCTCTCTCTCTCTATTTTTTATTTTGCAATTTGAAGTAGAATTTTGGGGGGACCAAAATAGGATTGTTAGCTCTCCATTTTGCGAAGCAGGTCATTAAAAAACATCTAAGTCCCTAGCATTTGTGATCATTTCAGAGGAAGAGCAGAAAGGCATTAGGTAAGATGGAAAAGTCCATCAGAAAGGGCAGTGGTGACCTTACACTGTTCTCTAACCCCCCTGCCTCCCTCTTACCCCCTCCCCGACCCCAAGCTCATGCTTTAGGGTGAGTTTTCTTTCTCCCATGAGCTTTAGAGGAACTTGAACTTTGATGTGCTCTGTTTTGTGCTGTAAACAAACGCATGCAAATGGCACAGATACACTGGCAAGGGCAACGCTGGGAACTTAGACAATGGTGCAGAAGTCAGGGTTAGCATGAAACAGAGGAATTTCGGGTTGAAATGAATGAACATCTTCCAAAGGAAGGAGGAGATGAACATAAAAGTGCGTTACTTTGGGAAAGGTAACGCTCGGCTGCAGGAAGGAAGCTGCTGGCAGCGCTGTGATCAACACGCTGATAAACAGGTTCCTCCCCACCCCCATCTCCCGGGGCTTCCCTCACCCCCCACATCTCCACAGGCTTCCTTTCAGAAATTAATTCAAGGGACATCCGGATAGTTTCTGACAGCCAGGGGAGAGTTAGGAAAATACTCGAATTTTCTCCAAATTTCTTCGGTCTTTGACGTCTAAGTAGATAAAAATTCCCTCCTCATTTAGGGTAGGTCAGGCATGCACACTACATAATCATTCTTTTCTCTCTTTTAAAAAAAAATATATATATTATTACAGAGAGGAAGGAAGAGGGGTAGAGAGTTAGAAACATCGATGAGAGAGAAACATCGATCAGCTGCCTCCTGCACACTCCCCACTGGGGATGTGCCCGCAACCAAGGTACATGGCCTTGACCAGAATTGAACCTGGAACCCTTCAGTCCACAAGCCGATGCTCTATCCACTGAGCCACACCGGTCAGGGCCATTCTTTTCTCTTTGATTGGAGGCACCTGGCAGTGCTGGCTAAACATATTTGGGAGGCATTTAGCACATCAGATGAAGACAAAGAGTGCTTACAAGACCATTAAGATCCAGGAATTTAAAAAAAGACCAAAAAAACCCCACAAAAACCAAAAAAACAAACCCACAAAGTCCACCCACAAAAAAGGGTGTGACCGAAGGAAAGGGAAACTGAGCGACTAATTCAGGCTTGGGCTGGAGGGCTCACCGCCGGTCAGGGCAAGAAATGTCCCTTTTGCTTAAAGAGCAAGCACTGGAATCACAGTGTCTCAGGCACACCGTGTGGAGCCCACACCGGGAGACAGAACATGTGGGGCCACAGCAGTGAATGTAACAGGAAGTGCGCATGCCTGGAAGGAAAGGCCTGCTTTCCTGGCTCGGGGAGGGCAGGGAGCTGGAGCTGAGGATGCTCTGAGGGGATGCGTGAGCGGTCAGGGCCGTGCAGCCAGATAGGGGCCGCCCTGCTCTGCAGGTTCAGCTCTAAAACGAAGATGGTGTTAGAGGCTTTGCTTTATAAACTCCAAACACAGCCCCAGTATGTGACCAGGCCATGTAGTTCCAGTAAACATAGACCATTACTGGAGCTGCTCCCTGGAGACAGGGCCCACTGCAAACTGAGTGTGAGGCCTGGCTGGTGTGGCTCAGTGGTTGAGTGTCAACCTAGGAACCAGGAGGTCACGGTTCGATTCTGGTCAAGGGCACAGACCCAGGTTGCAGGCTCCATCCCCAGTAGGGGGCATGCAGGAGACAATTAATCTATGATTCTCTCTCATCATGGATGTTTTTCTCTCTCCCTCTTCTTTTCTCTCTGATATCAATAAAAACAACAACAACAACAACAAAAAACTGATCTTTGAATTAAACAAACAACAAAGGGATTAAAAAAATAAAAAAATAAACCAAGTGTGAGGAGAAGAGAAAGAGGGTCCGAGGTAAGGAACAACAAAGAGCTACAGGTGAGGGGAACAAAAGGACTGTCAGGGAACTAGGGGGAGCCCCGGGACCATGTCCACAAACCCCTCCAGGGCCTTGCCTCCCCGTGGGAGGGGCTCTGGGCATTCCCAAGCCAGAACAAGAGGAAGACGGCCAGCCTTCTCCTCAGTCTCTTCTCTAAGATCCCATTTCTGAGTGTTCTGGGAAATCACCTACACTCAGAGGAGGAAGGGTCACATCCCAGTTGGTAAAAGTCAAAATGAGGAACTACAGGGCGGGCAAAAGTAGATGTCGAGTTGTTCATATAGAAAAGAACACAGCAATCTATAATAATAAAAGTGTAATGTGCTAATTAGACCGGATGACCTTCTGGAAAAAGCCGGGGCTGTGAGGGAAGCCCGGGTCCCGGGTGCCAGAGGGAAGCCGGGGGAAGGAAGGCCTACTCTTGCACGAATTTTGTGCAGTGGGCCTCTAGTTAATAAACAACAACATGAGAATAAACCCTGTGTTTCATGTACTACAACTGTAAGCTTGCTTTTGCCCCACCCTGTAGAGCTGATGCAAGGGGACCTGTGAGCCTGCTGTTCTGCACAAGGTGGAGGCATGTGTGCACATGTATGAACAGAGGGGAGAAGCGCACATGCTGCCTGATGCCCATGGTTGCCACAGGGAAGGATAAGCAATTCATGCTTCAGTAAGGACCCGGATTCCCATGGTTATCTATGAACACTGAATGAGCCAGGTCGAGGGTATAAAAATCAACCCAACAGTGCAAAGTCGACCACGTGGCAAACACCAAGGGGCTTTAATGAAAGAAGGAAAAAAGGCAGAGGGCAGAGGATATACGAGTCAGTTGTTAAATTAATAAAGAAATACATAAATAAAATTAAAAACTATCACACATGCATTTATATATCCATATATATGGATCCCATGAATTTTTAGGAAGTGATACTTGAGAATTTCTCACCGGTAAGATAAAAATCTAAGCATCTATAAGAATAAAAGCGTAATATGCTAATTAGAGCAGACATCCTTCCAGATGAAGCCAGGACTGCAAGGAAAGCCGGGTCCTGGGTGCCAGAGGGAAGCCGGTGCCGGCAGCCAGGGGAAGGAAGGCCTACTCTTGCACGAATTTTGTGCACCGGGTCTCTAGTTTTATAATATAATTTTGTGAACACTGGTGGGTTTTTCAGGAATATCTACACATACATTTCATCAAAATAGGTAACTCTTCTATGTTCTTCTCCCGTAAATGCTTGAATACACGTGTTAGAGACTTTAAAAAAAGAGAAGAACCTGGAAATTGTTTCAAGAGATAACTCACAAGACAGCTTTATACGGAAAAACTCAGTAAAAAGCAAGGTTGTGGCAAAGTCTGATCTGCTATGGTTGATGGGGAGCGGGGGGAGGGGAATCTTACACCAGCACTTTTTCTGAGGTCCAAGGTAAATCAGAAAGATCCAGAAAGATGGACCACAATGGCAGATGCATGAAGTGCAACCTGGGTCTGGAGTGGCAGAAGGGGAGAAGCATTCTGAGGTGAAAAGAAAAAGTGACATTAAAAGGAACTGGCCTCTTGCGGATGGTGTTTGGTTGCTGCCAGACTTCCTTAGAATCACTCAGAGGATCTTACTAGTTCCACCGAAAAAGGCCGATTCCGAATGGAAGAGAAAGGATGTAGACACCAAATGATTCATATCGGCGGCTGGATGAATGGCCGTTACCTGAGGAGGTAGGGTCTTCGGAGAAATCAGGCAACTCTTCAGGGGGGTCCCCATAGAATGAGTTGAATTTGTGACTCGACACAGCTGCTAGGACTGCACCCTGAAGCAAAGAGATGAAAAAAAAATGAAAACAAATACATAAATATAAAAATTAATGAACAAATGCTTACTTAAAGATTATTCAGAAAAGCCAATTATAGAGGACACGACAACTAGAAAAGGGAAGAACAGAAACCAGAAAAGTGATCTCAGGGGTAGCATTCCAGGTAACGTTTTCTATTTCTCGAAGTCGAGGGTTAATGCATGAGAGGCTCTTACGCGAAATTTGATGAGAATGACGAGTTCTTCTTTCCACAGTTGATGCTTATTTCACTTCACATATGACATATGTTCCCTAAAAGCTGGGTGGGAACGGAATTTTTCTGAATCAAACCATGCTTCCCACCCACTGAAACTAAAATTTTTGAGATGCCTTATTTTTATATCCACGTGAAGTCCAATTCAGTCTCTTAGCACTGACGTGAAAGATCTAGAAGTATTTATACTCTTAAGAAAGCACTATGTAAAAGGGCCCTGAGAGGTAAATTCTTTTCAAACAATAGCAGCAAGTCCCGAATTTATTGTTGTATGGCTAGTTTTATTTATTTAGTTTCCTAAACTTAGTGACTGCGTGTGGTTTGAATTTTCAACACAAAGCTATTAGCAAATCAGCAAAATTGTTCCAAGACTCTTTATAGACTTACTAGAGGCCTGGTGCATGAAATTTGTGCTTGTGTGGGAGGGGGTGTCCCTCAGCCTGGCCTGCATCCTTTTGCAATCCGGGACCCCTCGGGGGATATCCGACTGCTGGTTTAGGCCCGATCCTGCAGGCCGAATCGCCTGCCTGCCTGCCTGCCTCATAGCCCCTAACCACTTGCCTGTCTGCCTGATCATCCCTAACCACTCTTCCTTGCCTGCCTGATCACCCCTAATTACTCATCTGCCTGCCTGATTGCTTCTAACCAACTCTGCCTTGGCCCCCACCACCACAGCTTCATCTAGAAGGACATCCGGCTATCCGGTCTAATTAGCATATTACTTTTTTATTAGATAAGATAGAATTTTATTAGTTTGAGAGTCAAGCTTAGAGATGATTAATTCTAAAAGACTCATTTTTGAAGATGAGGAAACTGAGGTTCAGAGAGGCTTAGCAAACTGTTAATGTTGCTGCCAACTTTGAGATAAAACCAAGAGTAGACAGAATTGAGGTCCTCTACTCTCTCCAAATCAAGGGTTTTTACTATACCAGGGTCAACAATCTTTTTTTTTTTTCTTCTGTAAAGGGCCAGAGAGTAAATATTTTAGGGTTGAAGGCCATATATTTTATGTTGTAACTATTCAACTCTGCCATTATAGTGTGAAAGCAGCCATAGATAATACATACATCAATGTACATGCTGTGTTTCAATAAAACTTTATATGTAAAAATAGGTGGTGTTCCAGATTTGGACCTCAGTTCATAGTTTGCTAACCCCTATAGTTATTAAAGAGCTCAGATATTATACAAGAAGTTATTAAACTGACTTCTTTATTAAGTCCTAGATTAAAAAAATTTCTATCTAATTTAGTAGGTCTACTTTAGTTTGTTTTGAGAGTAAAAGATCAATTTGAGTAAAGAAAATTATTCACAATATGTTAAGACAACTAATATTAAAGATGCAATTTTCTACTGAGCAAATTCATCCAAAAAGGAGAAGGCAGATTCTAAACTCAAAGAAAAAGACAACTACAAATAATAAATTCTTAACTTGTTCATAGTTATAGCTCATGTGCCAACCATCCAAATGGAATGTTGGTTGCTAAATGATTCTTTGTCTCATTTAAGGAAGTGAAAACAAGAAAATACTTAGCTCAGACTTCTGCTAAGTTCAACTACTCCATGCACTTAAGGAGGCAGCCAAGTTAGTAAATTAGGAATGAGAGAGTTGAACACAGATATGTGGCTGCCTTGAAGACAAGAGCAAAACACCAACATGTATTCCATCTTTGGTGCCCCCAGCTGAGCTCAGACACCATGACATCTGCTAGCCACAAGGGCAGGTATCTTCTAACAAGTCTCAATACAAGACACACAGTGTGAGATGTAGAATAACTGGCTTTGTACTCAGGTTGCCAGGTAACCCACAGGCACATCATGTACCGAGGAGGGAAGCCCACCCCAGGGCCTTAAACTGGGAGAGGGCAAGGCTGAACAGAGATAATCTAGAGGCAGCAAAGTCAGTCCAAGGATTTTACTTGATTACATGTAAGAATTAGGTCCTAAATGGAAGGGAGGGGAGAGACGAGTGAGAGAAACATTGATGTGAGAGAAACACATCAATCAGTTGTCTCCTGCATGAGCCTCGAGCCCCAACTGGGACTGGGGAGCAAGCCTGCAACTGAGGTACATGCCCTTGACTGGGACCTAACCCAAGATCGTTCAGACCTTGGGCTGACACTAACCACTGAGCAAACAAACCAGGGCTAATATTAATAAACTAGAGGTCTGGTGTACAAATCTGACCTGCGTGGGATTGGGCTGAAACAGGTTCTCCAACATCACCGGAGGGATCCTGGATTGCGAGACAGTGCAGGCCAGGCCAACGGACACCATCAATGCACGATCAGGGTCAGGGAGGGACACGGGAGGTTGGCCAGCTGGGGAGGGTCTGCGGGAGGGCTCCAGGGCATGTCCAACCCATCTCACTCAGTCCCAATCGGCTGGACCCCAGCAGCAAGCTAACCTACCAGTTGAGGCATCTGCCCCCTGGTTGTCAGTGCATGTCATAGTGAGCGGTTGAGCGGCCTTAGCGTATCATTAGCATATTACGCTTTGATTGGTTGACGGGATGACCAGACACTTAGCATATTAGGCTTTTATTATATAGGAGTAAAATGAAAATGTAAGTAGCTACACACAGCTGGTGGCTGCTGCACTGGGTGGTGCAAGTCTATGAAGTCCTAGAAAACAGTGTTCCTAAGCAAACTTTTGTGCACTGGGCCTCTATTTATTAATATTAGCCCTGGCTGGTTTTGCACAGTGGTTAGTGTCAGCCCAAGTTCACGCACTTTCAGGAGCCCAGAGACCAATGCATTGGAAAGTCAGAGATGCATGTAGACAATACTTTTGCAATTTGCAAAACCAATAAAAGAAAATTGTAGAAAGTCATCAGAGATCAGACGCCTCCCTCACTTTCTCTATATACAAGAATACATGATGTTGTCCCTGACATTCAATCACGTGAATTCAGTTCACCATAGCCTGAACGGCCTGCAGCAAACCTACCCAAATACAGTCTGTTGCTTCTATTTATACAGAATTTCTTCAACATACTTCACTGCAGGGGGATTTGCTCGCTAAATATAGAAATGATTCTTGAAGCAAGGGGACGATTTCTAAAACAGACTCACTCCTGAGCCCCTTCGCTAGGGAGACAAGTTCACATACCACAGACCTTCCCTCTCTCCACCCCCACATCTTGCTTAGCAACTCCTTCAAGTACGTGACAGCCAGGGTTAGAACAAGGGGTTCCCCCTTAAGACACACAGCTCACAGGCCTTCTAGATCTGGCTGGCAGTCTGTCCCAGGCACCCCGATAATTCACTATGACAAAATACGATCCTTGTCCTATCCAGTCTCACACTCAGGCTTGGGCAGTTTATTAGAGGAAGTATTGTTTCTAGAATATTGTTTCCTGAGGATTTTTAAAAAATGGAAGTAAATAAAAGGGCACCCTCCCAAATCAACATATGACATATGTCTGGTAGCCAAAATGAGGAAAAGGAATTTTCCATCACCGTTCACAGATGCCAAATAAAATGATAAAATAAAGAAAAAAAAGTGTATGATGGTAATTCAAATCACATGCAGGGTTCCATAACTGTGGGGGGAAAAAAATCTAGTTTGAAATAGTCTGAAAATGAGGTGAATGCTTTCTATTTATCCACGTCATGTTCGCATTAGGGATTTATTGTTGCCTGTCGTGTGCCATGGAGGTGAAATGCCATGGGCTGAGGGAGGAAGTGGGGTCTCAGATGAGCCGAGCGGTGCAGTGAGCAGCTGTTATTATGGGAATGTGTCCCTTATTTATTTATTTATTTATTTATTTACTTATGTATTTATTTCATTGATTTTTTTACAGAGAGGAAGGGAGAGGGATAGTTAGAAACATCAATCAGCTGCCTCCTGCACACCTCCCACCGGGGATATGCCTGCAACCAAGGTACATGCTCTTGACCGGAATCAAACCTGGGAGCCTTCAGTTCGCAAGCCGACGCTCTATCCACTGAGCCACACTGGCCAGGGCATTATCCCCATTTTACAGATCAGGAAGTCGAGGCCCAGAGAATGGAAATAATGTGCTCAAGTCTATACGGCTTGTAGGTGTCAGAGCCAGGTGCCAGCTCAGGCCATGGCGCTCCAGAGCCCCCTTTACCACAATGCCGCGCTCCCTCTCTTCCCACCACTAACAATAGCAGTTCCCCTCTGACTCAGAGCAGAAGCAGCTCTCCCTGCTCTCGGGGAACTTCCCTTTAACCCTCTCCACGGGGGCAGGCAGACCTCAGTGTCTGGATGGGAGAAGCATGGGGGGGTGCTGTGGGAGGCTGGGTGATTGCAGAAGAGGGGGGACTTCCTGGAGGGCAGGTGTGGCTGCTTTCCCCAAGGGGTTGAGTCTCTGCTGATGTTCCCGATTCCAGGCTGGTCAGCGGGTCAGGAGGCTTGAAATACCCCCGCAGAGGGTGTGGTCAGCGCACATGACTGCTTTCTGCTGTGACAGCGCGGCTCCGGCCAAATGCATCTTAGTCACCACGTGGGCTATTTTGGGCCCAAGCCTGTGGCCCGGGGAGGGATGCAGCCCGTGCCTCTTGGGATGGGCAAACCTGAGCCACACAGCGAAAGGCCTGGATGTGTGCAGACTGAGGAATGGCGCACAGGCCAAAGCCAGCATCAGGGTTAAGCAGACTTTAGGGAAGAATCGAGAATGGAGCATAAGTAATGTTTCCTGGGGCGGGGAGAAGTGACTTCAAAAACAGGTGACCAGCCCTAGCTGGTTTGCCCAGTGGTTAGAGTGTGGGCCCTGCAAACCAAAGGGGCATGGGCTTGATTCTCGGTCAAGGGCATATACCTGGGCTGCAGGACTGATCTACCGCCATGGTGGGGAAGCACATGGCAGGCAACCAATTGATGAGTCTCTCTCACATTGAGGTTTCTCTCTCTCTCTCTGCCTGCTCCCTCCTTTCCACTTTCTCTAAAAATCATGGGAAAATATCCTCGGGTGAGGAATAAAACAAAAACAAAAACAAAAACAAAACAGAACAACAACAACAAAGCTGACCAAAATTCACTTTGGATAATAAGATGTTTATCACAGCAAAGAAATGCACTTTGGATAATAAGATGTTTATCACAGCAAAGAAATGCAAGTCTTGGGAAACTTCTTAATAATTATTTAAAACAAAGAGAAAAGAGCCAGTTTGAGAAAATGGGGCCTAGATTCACCTTCAATAACAATGGATAATAAGTCAGTTACTATTTTTAAAGGAATTTTATCTCTGCTATGAATTTGAAACATAATGCAAATTTAAAATATGACTTTTCTTCATTTAATATAACTCAGTGTATAGATTCATACTTAGGGATTACCGTACATGATTTAAAAAACCAAAATCTTATTGGAATGGTGGTCATTTTCGGAACTGAGAATTTAGTTAGAAAAACAACGGTCAGCACTAGGATATATTCATGGGCCCCAGATCAGAATACAAACATGATCATCCACTGCATGTCTGCCTTTTAAAATACATATATATTTATTGATTTCAGAGAGGAGGAAGAGGGAGAGAGAGAGAAACATCAATGAGGAGAAAGAATCATGGATCAGCTGCCTCCCGCATGCCCCCTACTGGGGATCAAGCCCACAACTCGGCATGTGCCCTGACCATGTATCGAACCCTGATCTCCTGGTTCATAGGTGGATGGATGCTCAACCCCTGAGCCACGCTGGCCGGGAATGTGTGGTGTTTTGATGATTTCTTTGATTTACCTTTAGTTTCCTCCTTGCATTGAATTTCCTCAGCTGCTCTACTGTTTCCGGAAGATGAATCTTGTAGGCATAACGATCTCTCTCCTATAAAAACGAGAAGGACAACGAACATCCATAACTGTTTAAAAAAGTGAAGAAGCTTAACCTAAAACAAATGAGAAAGCCCAAATTCTCAAATGTGAACCAGATTGAATTGTAGGAGACGAGATTTTATTCCATGATTCTGATAAACATTCTCAAATGAGGCATATGAAGAGCAAAACAAAGAGAAAAATAATACTTTATTTTCAGCAATGATAAAGGGCTGAAATAAGCCAAAATTTTCAGAGAGATGGCTAAAATAACTAAGCCTATGGTGATTAAGGTCTGAAGTTATCTTGGACATGATCTTGTCGGTTAAAATGAGCATTTGAAAATTAACTTCACCCCCGAGCCCGCATTCTGAGTGTGAGGAATACTTGGATTGAAAAACCACAGTATCTTCGAACTAGAACAAACTTCAAGGCCACCTGATTCCACATCCCCCTTCAGTCCCTGATGGATGAGGGTTCTTTGTGACTTTGTCCAGTAGGAGAGCATTCTTTTAGGGCTGCCCGTTAAAATGTTAAGAAAGTGAAAAAGTTCTTTTTTGTTGTTTTTCCTTAATTCTCACCCGAGAAAGGGAGAGGGAGAGAGAGAGAAACATCAATGATGAGAGAGAAACATCAATGATGAAAAAGAACCATGGATCGACTGCCTCCTGCACGGCCCCTAGTAGAGATTGGACCTGCCACCAGGTATGACTGGGAATTGAACCCTGACCTCCTGGTTCATAGGTCGCCACTCAACCAGGGAGCATGCCAGCCAGGCTGAACCCCGATGTTTGTACAGAGGATGTGCAGGAGAAGCAAAGCAGATGGACAGACCGTCTGAATGATGCTCAGAAAAGTGACAAGGTGCGGAGGGCCACCTTGGAGAGCAGGCTCTGCTGTGGCTGGGAGTGTCCCCACCACGGGCGGGGGGCCACCGTGGGCTCCGTACCTTGAGCCAGGGGTGGTTCAGGGCCTCGTAGACGGTGATCCGCTCGGCTGGGTCGAGCATCAGCATGCGGCGCACGAGGTCTTTGGCACTTTCCGAGATGTGGCTCCACTGCCTCGGATTCATCTGCGGAGGAGGACAGACAGGACAGCGAATCCCAGTGAGAAGGCAGAGCCACTGCCATTTAATATCCCTCTCCGTGGCCAGGACTGTGCCTCCTGCATTTGGGAAATACATTTTCGTCCTTTATAAAGAAGTTGATTGGACAGAATCATAGACACAGAGAATACCCTGAAGGCTGCCAGAGGAGGGGGAGGTTGGGGTGCTGGGAGAAAAGGGTGAAGAGATTAAGAATAAAAATTGGTAGTTACCAATAGCTAGGGGGAATCACTTCATAAATTATATAACTGATCACTATGCTGCACACCTGCAGCTGATCCTATATAACACACATGTAATATGCAGACGGTCATTACGCCATGAAGCGTGACAACTGACCGCATAATGACTGGATCACAGATCAGCAGGAGGGTGGGGCTGCGAGCTACAAGCAGGCAGCAGAGAGCTATTGGAGGGGGCAGGGCAGCAAGCTTTGAGGGGCGGGGCAGCAGGCGGAGAGCTACTGGTGAGCTACTGGTACATGGATTTGTGTGCAGGGCCACTAGTATGAAATAATATTGAAAAAAATTGAATGTCAACTATAATTGGAAAAAACGTTAATTGAAATTAAATGTTAGCCTACAATGCAGTTAAACAGCATTTTCTCATATCTACTAAAAAAATCAAGCTAGCAAATGTGAATAACAAGTTAAATTAAAATAACTTCAGATCAGGAGTACTTTATAAATGACGATAACGTAAATGTACTACATTTGAGAGATATCATAACAATTTCTTGAAATACCCGCAGAAGTCAGGATTTTGATAACAGTTCAGTTAAGAACCACCAGCGTGAGAAAACGATATTTTTGAGATCTGCTTCAAAATAATCTAGTAGGATGTGGAAGACGGACAAAATAAGACAGGCTGAACGGTGATAAGCATTGGAGCTGGGTTTCATCAGACTGTTCTCTCCATGGCTTTTGTTTGTTTGAAATTTTCCCTAATAAGTGTAGACACAGTGCTGACAGATCATAGCACAGAATACTTTAAAAAAAATGCACGAGGCCCATCACTGATGGTAGCGATGACGCTCTACTTCACACTGCGCTGTGGAGAGCCTGCGGCTTTTGTAAGGAAAGTCAGGGATAGATGCAAGAGGTGAGGCTGGTCAAGTGAAGGCGTAAATGTGTTATTAACCTCAAAGCTTCCAGCCTGCAGGTACAGGAATGATGCCACCATCCAGCTGACTTACTACGAAAGTGAGAACGGGGACTTTTAAAATCATGTAACTTCTCGCCGAGACCAGTTTGGCTCAATGGATAGAGCGTCGGCTTGGGGACTGAGGGGACCCGGGTTCGATTCCGGTCAAGGGCATGTACCTTGGTTGCGAGCATATCCCCAATAGGGGGTGTGCAAGAAGCAGCTGATCGATGACTCTCTCTCATCGATGTTTCTGGCTTTCTATCTCTCTCCCTTCCTCTCTGTACAAAATCAATAAAATATATTTAAAAAAAAATAAAAATAAAATCATGTAACTTCTGTACATGTGTGAATGGTCCCAGTTTCTTACAAAGAAATGAAAATACTATTCAATGCTTTAAATATAGATGCAATTGAATACCAGAAGCTGCTGGAATGAAGCACATTGCCTTGGAAACAACTGAAAAGACACAAAGGAAGGGCTTTATTATTAGCAAACTAGTGGCCCAGTGCATGAAAATCATGCACGGGGGTGGGGTGGGTGGGCGTTCCTCAGCCCGGCCTGCACCCTCTCCAATCTGGGATCCCCTAGAAGGATGTCCTACTGCCATTTTAGAGTTTGGGCCTAAACTGGCAGTTAAACATTCCTCTTGCAATCCGGGACTGCTGGCTCCTAACCGCTCACCTGCCTGCCTGATTGCCCCTAACCACTCTGCCTGCTGGCCTGCTCACCCCCAACTGCCCCCTGCTGCCGGCCTGCTTGCCCCCAAATGCCCCCCCCGCCAGCCTGATCACCCCCAACTGCCTCCCCTGCCAGTTTGCTCACTCAAAACTGCCCCCCCCCGCCTCTAGCCTGCTCGCATCCACCTTGCCTCCCCACTGGCCTGCTCACTCCAAACTGTTCTCGTCCTGATCACCTCCAACTGACCCCCACTGATGGCCTGCTTGCCCCCAACGGCCCCTTGTTGGTCTGCTTACCCCCAACGGCCCCACCCCCCACCAGCGTGATCACCCACAACTGCCCTCCCCTCTTGGCCTCTAACCTCTACCTCGGCCCCACGACCATGGCTTTGTCCAGAAGAACATCCGGAAGGTCTCTTGGGAGGTCTCCCAGTCTAATTAGCATATTACCCTTTTATTAGTTTAGATAGAGGCCTGGTGTATGGGTGGGGACCGGCTGGTTTGTCCTGAAGGTGGGTGGTAAGAGGTTGATCAAAGAACTTGTATGCGGACACACACACACACACACACACACACACACACACACAACCCATGGACACAGATAATAGGGTGGTGAGGGCCTAGGATGGGGGTGGGGGCTAGAAGGGGTCAATGGGGGAAAGGGGGACATATAGAATACTTTCCACAACAAAGATAAAAAAGGAGAATTGAACAGAAAACTTAGGGGCCTCCCAGTTTTGGAGTGTAGTTAGAGAAACTTGTAAGAAAATGACAGAGTGTTCTGTTGAGCAGAAAGTACAGGTTGTAGTAAGAATGGGAAGAAAAAGGACTTTCCCAACATCAGCTGCGGGTCTGGTACCCTGACACACTCCTCGGGGGTTCCCATGGGCACCCTCCCAGCCCGTCACCCCTGACGATGCCAGGAATGACTCTGCACTTCTTGAACAAAGAAAGCGATGCTTCACTCTCAGAAGCCCGTAGAGAGTACATGTGGTTTCCCGTCCACATCCGCCCCCAAGGTGTGAGTGTTTCTCCGACTTGGGGTCGACATGACAATCAAGTCACCCAAAGACAGACAGCGACTTCAAAGCACATTTCCAGAACCGCTGCCTGTCCACGGACAAAGCCAGCCATCCCGCACAGCACCTTGTATTTGCCTTTGATGATGCCTTCGAACAGCCGCTCCTTGGTTCCGTAAAAGGGCAGGCAGCCGCTGAGCAGGATGAAGAGGATCACGCCGCAGCCCCACACGTCCACAGGCTTCCCGTAAGGCTCTCTTTTGACAACTTCCGGGGCCATAAAATGAGGTGTCCCGACGCGTCCTACAGTGAAAGCAACAGCAACAACATCAAGGAAAAGTATTTACGCAAAGCAAGCTCGCCCCAACCCCCAGCTGAAAACGGAAAAGAACTGAAAATAACAATTGGAATGAAAAGTTTTTCCTACTGGAGATTGACAGGCTTGTACCTGGAGGGAAGTTACTGTGGGAGGGAACAGACCCAGTCCACCCTCTTTCTTCTCTCTCTCTCTCTCTCTCTCTCTCTCTCTCTCATCATATGGAGTCCAAGATCATTTTTACTTTGAACATTGCATAATACTTTATCTAGAGCTCAGAACTGTGATTCAGAATTAAAAAGTCAGTGGCTAGAGCATCAGCCTGTGGACCAAAGGGTCCCAGATTCGATTCTGGACAAGGGCACGTGACTCAGATGCAGGTTCAATCCCCTGCCCGGTTTCCCCGCCTCCCTTCCACTCTCTCTAAAAATCAATGGAAAAATATCCTCTGGTGAGGATTAAAAAAAAAAAAAAAAAAAAAAAAGACTTTAGAGATCTGCTGATGCAGCTGAGAATCTACACTAATAAAAGAGTAAGATGCAAATTAACTGTACCTTTACGACACCCACCAGTCAATCAGGAGCGAGTATGCAAATTAACACAACAAAGATGGTGGGTTAATTTGCATATGCAGACACTGAGCACCCCAGCCGCTCAGGGTCTCTGGGCAGCGTGGGAACGCTGAAAGGCGGCTCCGGATGAGGGAAGGCTGTGCTGGCAGCCAGGGGAAGGCTGTGCCGGCAGCCAGGGGAAGGAAGGCCCATTCTTGCACGAATCTTCATGTATTGGGCCTCTAGGCTATCAGAAAGCCCTGGTAGTGACTGTCAAAGTCAGCTGGGCTGGAGATTGCCAGAGCCACTCCCAGTCTGTGTGCTCTGGCTGCTCCTTGCTGTAGCCCATCATGGCTCTCCTCCCTCCTCCATAATCAAGGCGATTAAGTCAGGGTCCAGAGAGTGAAACCATTTTCATTGAAGATGTACAGTAGCTCAGTGAAAATCACAGTTAGAAGGAAATAGTTTGTTCCCGCCTGGCCCCATTTTGCTCCCTCACGTAACAAAGAGAAGCTGAAGCACTGAGCCCTAAGCTGCCAACCTTGGTGACAGCCTGGCCAGGGCGGGGCTGCTGGAGAGTCACTTGGTTCCTCTGGACAGGCGCTGGCGTGAGGAGGGACGCACAGGGCGAGAGACCACGGTACCTGCTGCCCATCTGCATGGTGCTGGGCAATGCAGCTTACCTCCTACATTTCTCACACAGGAAAGGCCCACACACCTCAGAGTGGGTGCCTCGCTTAGGGATTAGGCGGAGCCACCGTGGACAGCCCCAGGCACCCGGTGGGGGGGATTCTCTCTGCTTATCTGCACGGAAGTCCACCCTGATGTGGAGAATGAGGGTGCATCTTGGGGAAGATGCGTGCATTTTGGTTTAAGAATTTGCTTGTAGATGACAGAAGGCAAGACTGGCAAGAAGAACTATAGGAACGATCCTTTGGGTTTTGTGCGGATCAGTAGCAGGTAAAAGGACTGGAGGCAACCTTTAACACACATGGACGTCACGGAACTCCTTGTTGGCTCTCTCTTAACTTTTCCTGCTTTGCGGTCACTTGATTTTGTGACTTTGACCACAAAATTCTAAGTACAGGAAGCCAGTCACCAAACCAAGTGAAATGTCACTGTACATGATCTGCATCAGATAACCATTTAAATATTTAAATGTCATATTTTCTGATAATACAATGACCTTATTGCCCAGAAGCCCACGGAGGGAATGGCTGTGGACAGCTACCTCTGCAATATTGTAGGACTCGGGTCTTCACGCACCCAAACCCGGTCACCTTCCTCCCATCTCCCGCCTCCTCTCAAACAGTTGTTGCACATAGTTTAAGCTTTTTTTTTTTTTAAAAAAATATTTCATTGATTTTTTACAGAGAGGAAGGGAGAGGGGTAGAGAGCTAGAAACATTGATGAGAGAGAAACATCGATCAGCTGTCTCCTGCACACCTCCTATTGGGGATGTGCCCGTAACTGGGGCCTGTGCCCTGACCCAGAATCGAACCGTGACCCATACATGTAAATGGTGCTCACTGTATGGGACAGACACAGGAGAACATGCCTGTGTATTAGAGGACAATGTGGGGAAGAGATGAGTGAAGGACTGAGTGCTGACTCCTGGCTCACGGGCAGAAGTGGTTTGTGTTGCTGCTGTGCTGACGTCTCAATGACAGTGAATGACATGTCACCTGGGGAGTGAAGCTGGTGGCAGCCCTGTCCCGACCCACCAAGCTTGCAGGCTCGTCCCCGATGGCCCTGGTAGCTGTGGCTCAGTGGGTAGAACAATGTCCCGTGCACTGACAAGTAGCTGGTACCATTCCATAAAAATTCCATAATTTTCTAGTTATGTTTTGCTTTGGCACATGCCCAGATTGTGGGTTTGATCCCCAGTTAGGGTGCGTGTGGGAGGCAGCCAATCGATGTTTCTCTCTCTCATAAATCTCTCTCTCTCTTTCTCTCTCTCTCAAAGCAATAAAAACACACTTAAAACAAAACTTATAAAAAAATCAACCAATGAATGCATGAACGGCTGGAACAACAAATTGATGTTTCTCTCTCCCTAAAAATCAACAAATGAAATAAAAGAGAAATGAAATAAAGTATCTTGTGCAACATTATTATTTTGATATTTACAATTGGCCAGGCCTTTGAATGTACCATGAACATTCTTGAAAGAAGTCAGGTTTAAAAAGGTGCCATTGTCCTAGTTTGGCTCAGTGGATAGAGTATTGGCTGGCAGACTGAAGAGTCTGGTTTCAACTTTGGTCAGAGGCACGTACCTCGGTTTCAGGTTCCCCAGCCCTGGTTGGGGTGCGTGCAGGAGGCAACTAATTGATATGTCTTTCTCCCATCGATGTCTCTCTCTCTCTCTCCCTCTCCCTCTCCCTTCCTCTCTCTCTAAACATCAATGGAAGAATACCCTCGGGTGAGGATTACCGCCACCAACAAAAATGGAGCTATTGATATTTGCCATGTTTCCTCTTTGAGAAGGCTGGCAGCATTGAGAGAAAGTAGAAGGAAATGACTAGAAGAAGGAAAGCTTCTAGAACGGAGACCTAAGCAATCTGCAACTAAGAAACGGAACTAAAAACAGGAGGGCATCCTGAGTGGGAGCCATTAAAGGCATAAACAGAAGCCCGAATACTGGAACCTGTGATTAGCATCCACCCCTGTACACTAGTGAAGTCACTATTTTAGCTTTTCGTTGTTGTCTGGCCTGGAAATCTTCTAGTTATGTTTTGCTTTGGCTAATAATAAAATTAGTCAGCATTCGATTCTGCTTGCTCTTCCCAAATACACAGATCAGGGCTGGAGCAGTACTCTGACAAATGCAAAAGCAAAACAGCATGAAATGAAAAATTAGCCATCGGTGTATGCCTGAAGGTACATAATCCCTACATTCTTTATTTCGCTTCGTCTACTCAGTTCAACCTTAAAAGTCACGTTGCCTCAAATATCAAATTCTTCCAACATTGTTTTAATCTTGGTATGTAGGGTCTCTTCTCTGTTAGTTCTGGAGTACAAAGAATAAAAAGCCTATCCCAGCCGGTGTGGGTCAGTGGTTGAACGTCAACCCACAAACCGGGAGGTCAGGGTTCGATTCCCTGTCAGGGCACAGGCCCGGGTTGCGGACTCAATCCCCAATATGGTGCATGCAGGAGGCAGCCGATCCATGATTCTCTCTCATCATGATGTTTCTCTCTCTCTCCCCCTATCCCTTCCTCTCTGAAATCAATAGAAATATTAAAAAAAAGACAGCTTATTCATAAGGGACTAAAATTCTAGTTATGACTACAGAGTTATTAAATTCAAAACTATACAATAAAAACAAAACAAACTATACAATGGCACTTTGAAGAGAGGCTAATATTTAGTTTGAAAGTTTTCCATCAGCCTAAAAGTGACTGGGTTTCGAAGAATATTTTCGAAAAGTGTTCTTACCTCCAGCTACAAGTCCGGACTCTCCTAACTGAATAGCTACCCCAAAGCCCCCAAGTTTGACAGGTGCCGAGTTTTCCTTGGAGGCGAGGAGAACACAGTGGGGCTGAAAGAAAAAGACAAACACACCAGACATGAGGATTAATTTAACAGGAACAAGAACAATTCAATTTACACAAAACCGAGTAACGTGACGATAAAGTAATACATTAGAAACTTCTGGAATTATTTTGGGTACTTGAATTATTTGTCTTAGTCTCACTTCTAGCTGACTTCTCCAAAGACTTACCTGTTCTAATATTTCCCAGGAATTACCTGCTTCCAAGATTAGGGTATGGTGCTAAGAATTACTTAGGATCCTAATCACGGATCTAATATAATATTGTGTGTCAACTGTAATTAAAAGTAAATTAAACCTGATGGGTGTGGCTCTCAGTGCTTGAGCATCAATCCATGAACTAGGAGGTCATGGTTCGATTCTGGTCAAGGGCACATGCCCAGGTTGTGGGTTTGATCCCCAGTGTGGGGCATGCGGGAGGCAGCCGATCCATGATTCTCTCACTTCATTGATGTTTCTCTCTCTCTCCCTCTCCCTTCCTCTCTGAAATCAATACAAACATATAAAAAATAAATTAAAAAAAGGAATTACTCAGGAAGCACAGATGCTTAAGAAAGATATATATTTTTTGCCTTTTTCATGCAATGTTCTCTTCCTTTGAGTGAGTCTCCATTTGTTTAAGGAAAAAATAGCTCTGACACCTTGTGCTTCAGGGGATACTGATGGCCTTTTTTTGTCCACCCTCCTGCCATCCTCTTTCTCTTCTTGCTTCGTGTCACCCTGAAGTAAGAAGAGTCAGATCCAAGGACTGCAACTGGTCTGGTGCCTAGGCCCCCTTCTCCCGGGCCCCGCCCCCTCTCTGTGGGAAAGGGAGGTGAGAAACCAGAAGTGGGAAGAAGAAACTGGAAAAAGACCTATCAATTATATCAGAGTAGTCTTTCAATAGAAATTCCATGACTTTGATCATTGGACTGTACCTATGAAGAGAATGTCTTATTTTGAGGAAATATATAAAGAGGTAGATAGAGCTAGATGGGAGTGAGAGACTGAGAAAGATAAAAGAAAAGTGGGAAAATGTTAACATCCGGGTAACTTGAGTGAAAGGAGTCTGCAATTTTGTACCAGCCTTAGAATTTTTCTGTGAGCCTAAAGTGATGTAGAAGCAACCCCACCCTACTTTCAAGTCACTCAAAAGAATTCTTGTGGTTACGCTTTCGATTTCTTACATGGTGAGCTCAATTTGTTTCAATTAGATGTTGACCTAATTTGGTATTTTAATTGTGTAAAACACTAGAGGCCCGGTGCACGAAATTTGTGCATGGGGGGGGGGAGGGTCCCTCAGGCCAGCCTGCACACTCTACGATCAGGGACCCCTTGGGGGATGTCCAATAGCTGTTTCTCTTAAAACCCTTCCTCAGTCCCATCTTGGGTTCTAAACCAGCAGTCCGACATCCCTCTCACAACCTGGGACTGCTGGCTCCTAACTGTTCACCTGCCTGCCCACCTGATGGCCCCTCACTGCCTTTGTCTGCCTGCCTGATTGCCCCTAACCCCTCTGCCTTTCTGATCACCCCTAACTGCTCTCCCCTGCCAACCTGATCTCACATCTAACGGCCTCTGCCTTGGCCCCCACCACCATGACTTTGTCAGGAAGGAAGTCGGATGTACAGAAGATGGCTGGTTGACCCGATCTAATTAGCATATCACCCTTTTATTAGTATAGATGTGCATAGTACAAAGTGAAAACTGTAAACAAATACCATTCAGAGAGGTCTAGTTTTTATCCCCTCTCCTCATTCCCAACCTCTTCCTTCTCATGGGTAGCTATTGGTATCTAGAGATTTTCAGGGAAGTTTTTAAAAAATATTTATTATTGAAAGTATTACATATGTCCCCTATTTCCCCATTGACCCCAGCTAGCATGGAATTTTGTTTTTTATTTTTTAATATATATTTTTCTGGATTTCAGGGAAAGAGAGAGAAACATCCATGATGAGAGAGAATCATGGATCGGCTGCCTCCTGCACGCCCCCCACTGGGGATGGAGCCTACAACCCTGGGCACCTGCCCTGACCAGGAATTGAACCCTGACCTCCTGGTTCATAGGCTGACTCTCAACCACTGAGCTACACTGGCCAGACTTTTGTTTTTAAACAGAGGCATCTGTGTGCTGCTGGGAAGATTCTGAGAGAGGGAATACATTCCCAGGAGAGAGGGAATGGGGCGTAATGCACAGTGGCTGGTGCAGGGGCACCTGTGGATGCAGGCAGGTGTGGATGTAGATGAGGAATTTCCCTTCCGAGCACTTCTACTTTCCATTCACTTCAAAATAAGAAGTGATCATCAAGTGTGAGTGGGAAAGGGCAGGCGCCTGCTGGCCGTGAGGAGAGTGAAGGTGTGAAAGGATTTTCAAAGAACAGGAGCGTCAGCTGACTAAGGCGGTTTACCTTTAAACGATACCATCAGCATCCCACAGCCTTGCTGGCCCCACCCACGCAGGCCCTGATTCATCAGGTCTGGAATGAAATTAAGAATGTGCATTTTTTACTCTGGCCGATGTTGCTCAGTGCATAGCGTGTAGGCCTGTGGACTCAAGGGTTCCAGGTCAATTCCGTCAAGGGTATGTACCTTGGTTGTGGGCACATCCCCAGTGGGGGGGTGGTGGTGGGGGTGCAGGAGGCAGCTAGTCGATGTTTCTCTCTCATCGATGTTTCTAGCTCTCTATTTCTCTCCCTTCTTTCTGTAAAGAATAAATAAAATATATTTAAAAAAAAAAGAATATGCGTTTTTAACAAGCTCCTGAGTGATGTTGATGCCGCTGGCCTGGAGCCATACTTAGAGAAGCCCGGGCTCAGTAATACAGCAAGATTGGCAGCACATGGCTTCACTTGAGGTCTGTGGTCATGGGCTGGAAATGAGACCAATCAGCGTGATGTGTGTTTGTACCCTGCAGTCCCCCTTCTGCCTGGCTCAGTGGTCGGCAAACTCATTAGTCACCAGAGCCAAATATCAACAGCACAACGATTGAGATTTCTTTGGAGAGCCACATTGTTTAAACGTAAATTTCTTCTAACGCCACTTCTTCAACATAGACTCGCCCAGGCCGTGGTATTTTGGGGAGGAACCACACTCAAGGGGCCAGAGAGCTGCATGTGGCTCGCGAGCCGAGGTTTGCTGACCACAGGCCTGACTGAATTTAACCAGGGTTGGGATTTAGATAAGAGAGGACCGTGATATCAGTGAATAGAGGGCACCAAATAAGCATACCCATTTATTTCTTTGTTTTTACTTTTATATTTATATAAATAGATGCTAGAAACCAGTTCCAGCATGTCATAATTGCAAGAGTTTCATCGAAAGGTTGATGGAACTTGGGGACTCAACAATAGCTGAGTCACATATGTTATTGCCTATTGGAATGGCTAAAGGCATTTCCCCAAACCGGAAAAGGATGATTGCTGGCTGCCAGACAGCTCAGGGCATCTCAATCTACATGTTATTGGCCCAGTACCTGAACAGCCGGGGGTAACTCTTCCAATCTGATAATGCTTTTGTATACAAACCCTGGCCTTTCAAGTGTATATCTCCACCTTGTCTTAGGACAAATTATGTTAATAAAAAGCAAGGGGTCCTAAGACAAGGAGAACTTAGTTCCTTTAGCTAAGTCTTTCTCTGAGTTCCTATAATGCCTTCCATAATTATGTTTAGTCTCTGAACTCTTATTTAATTTACTCACAGCCCCTTCTCCAGATTGCTGAACCCTTTTAGATGCCGGATCAAGACCACCGGAGTTAAATAGAAATCTAAGATACCAACAAAGGAGGAAAAGAAAGGGTGAGGGGAAGGGAATATATAAGAATGAGGTAAGCCTGGCCATTGTGACTCAGTGGTTGAGTGTTGATCTATGAACCAGGAGCTCATGGTTCAATTTTGGGTTGGGACATATACCCGGGCTGCAGCCTTGATCCCCAGTGGGGTGGGGTGGGAGGCCTGTGGGAGGCAGCCAATCAATGATTCTTTATCATCATGTGTTCTTGACTGGAATCAAACCTGGGACCCATCAATCCACAGGCCAATGCTCTATCCACTGAGCCAAACCAACAGTCCATATAAAAGACAGTCACACAGGTAACTCTGTCAACTTATACTCTAGCTTTTCACAGTCGGTCATCAACAAACCTTATGAAACCTGATGGAACAATGATACCACCCTCATGGCCTTCTGGTTATCTACAAAATAAAGGCCACATTCTGGACCTTAAAAAAGAGGGAAAAGCCCTGGCCAGTGTGGCTCAGTGGATAGAGTGCAGGCCTGGGGATTGAAGGATCCCAGGTTTGATTCCAGTCAAGGGCACATGCCCAGGCAGTGGGTTTGGTCCCCAGTGGGAGGCATGCAGGAGGCAGCCAATCCATGATTCTCTCTCATCATTTATGTTTCTCTCTCTCTCTCCCTTCCTGTCTGAAATCAATAAAAATATATTTTTAAAAAAAGAAGGAAAAGAAAAAATTATTCAAGAACCAGCAGCTCTTGTAAACTACCATTTACATTTTTAAGAATTATCAGAAATTCATCTCAATATCGTCACAGCCCACAACATGCTCTAATGAGCGCCAATCACAGTTGTCTCACGAGAAAGAGCCTTCTTACATTTAAAAACGTGATATCTTGAATTAGCCATAGTGACTAGCATTTCATTATACTCATTAAATACTACTTTGCTAAAATTATACATTTCAGGATATAAAATGCACCAACAGAAAACTGATCTCTAAAAATTGTGTGATCAGATGTAAACTTAATAAAGTGTTATATTTATTGCATTACGTACAGTATGACAGCACAGGTGTTATTTGGTGGTGTGGGAGTTTATGTGTTTACTTCTTTATCTCCACTATTATGCTTTATAAATAATAACACGTTTTAAAGGGGAAAAAGTCCATGTAGCATATTCTCAAATAGAAGAAGCCTATTTGTAATGAGAACTTAAAGAGCTCCTTTGCCAAGGGGAAGGTCTTCACCCAAAAGACAGAAATAATTTCCTAAAGTG